CTAAGCCGGTTTGAAATTAAATTTATCCATTTCTTGAGGGGGGTGGGGGGGAATAAGTGATTGATGGAACCTCTTCGAAATCGTTCAAAGGCAAGGGAGCCTAGAGCCAAGGAAATTATGAGGAGCTAGAAAAATAATTGTGCTTATAGACGTCTTAATGGTTAACAGGGTTAAACACCGATGAATATAGGAATACATAACATTTTCCGCACGATAATCGAACGGCAAATACGAAAAAATGCGTGGGAATAACCGAGTGGTGAATCGCCAATAACAACGCGTTTTCTCAACGCAAACAGCCACAAACACTAAAAAACATCGTATTTCATCTCTGAATTCTCAGGAACTAGATTTAAAGTGGACGATTCGTTCTAGATAAAGTGTGCCCCCTTACCAGCCTCTCTATACAGTGCACTTATGAAAAGCAGAAGAAGAAACTATCACGTCACTAAACTCTTCTGAGTTCTGCGGATCATAGCAAACTGTATTCATGAATAAAACTGACAGTCTCTCGAGTCAACAGAACCTCGTAGAGAAGAAAATGACCGAAAGCTCATTTTCGATTAGAGTTTTTGCCTGAGGGTTTTTCTACTTAACAGGTGCACAAAAGAACTGAATGCTCGTTGAATAAAGGTATCGAACTGTTTAATTGCCGTAGAAAATTAGAAAACAATTACCAAACAAATGAAGTCCTGTCATCGTGAAAGCATCTGAAAGGATGTGTTGAAATAAGTGGTTAAAGATGATCGCGTAAGTTTCGAAAATACTATCAACTTACTCTACGTATAAATTCATATCCAGCTAATCTCTGATGTCTCACATCCGTAGTACATGATTTCATCTACATACAGCGCACTCCAAATACACTTTCTTGAAAGGTTTCGAATGATAAATTTTCTACAATTCCTGTATCTACATGCATATAAGAATACACTTTCTATATGCATATCAGAATTAAGTATTAGGACTTGCCATTTTTTTATTAAGAAGAAAGGTGTGTGCATGAGCGAACGCCGTGTAAACGGAAAACAATGGCATCCTTACAAGCTCTTTTTTTATCATGCCCAGGACCTCGCATGCTTGTTGTCTAAAAGTTTTCTGTCGTCGCCTGTCGCAAATATACCTTGGATTCAGAAAAGACTAAAAGACTGCTTGACTTTCACAAGCTGAGCGGGTCGATTTTGTTCTCCTCGTTTCCAGGTTTCGGTGACTGCAACGTGTCAATAATCTTGAGCAATACACGCCCACTTCAGGTTCATCAGGGTCGTAATGCATGGAACTGTTTAATTACGGTGGAAAATTAGAAAACTATAAGCAAACGCAGAAATTATTTATTAGGATAGCGAATTCCTTTCATTATGAAAGCACATGAAAGGATATTTTGACATATCAAGTGGTCACTTTTTGAACAAAACTAAAAAAAATGACTAGGGTCTCCATAAGCCCTTTGCATTGAAAATTTTCGCTATACTGGCTCAATCAGTATTGGATATTGATGCACAATGCATCTGAAATCAGGGAAAATAAAATATTTTATCTCAACACATTACTAGAGAGAGCGATCATCATTGAAAAAAACTTATGGCAGCTTACCTAGAAATAATAAATGGACATTGGGAAGCTTCAGTTTAAGTTGGCCGATCGTTGTTATTTTCAATTACTTCGTAAATGTTCACTGAACATCACTGAAGCAGTGAAATCTAGAAACTTCAGTTTCTTGTTACACTGAAATGCAATGGAAGCTTTTTCACTCCGTCCTCAAGATTCCAGCAACAATTCTCCTGACTGTCTGCTATTTTGTTTATCTACGAATTTTTTGTTAAATAAAACAAGTTTCTTTATTGATATTCTTCAAATTATTGACCGAAAGCTTATTTTCGATACGGTGTTTGCGCCAACAACTCACACAAAAGGGTAAAGAGCTCATTTGGCAAATACTTTCGAACCGTTTCAATCATCGTGGACAAATGGATAACGATTTGCATACGTAAGCATTGTGCAACGAGGAAGTGAGGTTCCGTCATACACGAAAATTATCTCTTTGCTAAAGAGATCAGTATTTTTCGAGACTGGTTGTTAAATAAGAGGTCTTTGATGCAATGAACAATGCAATTACAGAACAAAGTTCGTGGGCTAAAATTGGCGTAGAAGTGATTGATATTCTATTTGTTCAATGAGGTGCAGTAATTTACTTTCAGATCTACTCTGTCGTCTCACAATCTCTAGAAAAAAATCAGTATTTATTACTGACTAATCGTTGTCATCTTATCTCTTGGATTTTCACTCAGTACAGTACAGTGGTGGATTCTTCTAGTCGACACTTGGCCTGTTTCTGTGTAATGCAAATGAGGTTTTTAGACCAGATCCCTTCACAGGGCTAGACGGCTTTTGCTTTGTTAGCGCTCTCACTAAACTTTCATACTAAAAAAACTGGAGCTTATTCGAAACCTGTTCATTAGATGTCAAAGAGCTGAAGTATTAATTCTGACTACCTCTTTATAAGGATTTGTTTGAAATTCAAACGATAGAAATACATATCATTAATAAACTTGATCGTCAACATCTTTTCCTCAAATTTTCAGTGAAGAAGTGGAGTAGTCAATATTTTCGCTAACATTCAGATGCCCGGAGTATTGTTTCTGCTTTGTTAGCACTTTTACTTTCAAAACATCATAGTAAAAAACCTGCAGCTTATTCGAAACATGTTCATTCGGTATCGAATATTTCAAGTGTTCACTCGAAGACTCTAACGCGGATAATGAATAACAGTTTTGTGATTGAAGTTTTTGCCCGTGTTTTATTCAGCTTCACACGCGGTGTGACAGAGCACTACGACCCTGATGAGCCTGAAGTGGAGATCTTTGGATACAACGATAGCTTAAGCAGTGAGGGTCGAGAGTGGAATTGTCAGCCCGTTGATAAACCTATTTATCAGGAATATTCACCGCCATCGGACGACGATTATGATCTCTTGTCAGTCGGTAATTCTCGACTTAGATATCGGGTCATTGACGCGAGCTCACCGGACGAAGATGGAGACGAACAGCAAGATGTAGATAACGAAATGGCATGGAAGCGATTCAGACCGTCCGTTCTTTGCACAATTTGTCAATCTATGTACATCGGCGCATTAATTTCACTTTTAACTCCAGCCATCTTAGGCCTTTTTTACGTCATGATCTGTTACGTCTCTTATGAAACAGTACTCAACTGCCAATTTGACCCGAATGAGAGAATCCCAGTTAAAATACAGTGGATCAGAACATTGTCTGGCGTGATAAGTATAGCCTTTCTATACATGTGGTTCTTTGTAGGAATGCTTTTTCTTTTTCGACCGTATCAGTTAAATGGCGTGAAAAGAAAACTCATTCTTGTTGCTTTTGTCTTTTTTTGTGTGGATACAGTGTATCGTGTTGTCTTTCAAGTCTTTGGAATATCTAATTCCCAGTTTTCTGTGATTCGGAAGATTCCTCTCAACATTATATTCCTAATTAGCGTATGTTGCCAAGTTTACCTTCTAGCAAATCACTTTCGGAACCTGTCGAGTAGGACGAGTTTATTTATAAAATTAACGACACCCTACTGCTTCACTTTCTTTATTGGCATCTTTGCAGAATCGTTTATTTATCCAATGTACAACAAGCAAACTGAACATGGAAAACTCCTTAT